AATATAAATATATATATTTATATTTATATGATAATGTAGTTTTATTTTAAAATTATTATATCGAATGATAATGTATGTCTAGATTTTTCAAAGAAGAATAAAATATTTTAAATAACTTTATTTATTTATTTGCTTTTAAGCTCTAAATGCATATGTAAAATAATCACTTCTTAATAACATGTTCCGAGAAACATTTTTATTATTCTCATATTGCCTCAAATTTTGCAGTCTATTTCAGTGCATCGCCTTGTGAAGTATTGCACTGTTCGAGACAAACAACAACATCCTAAATGTTTGCAGTCGAGGGAGTGCACAATTATTCTCGTCATCCTCGTTGACTGCCGCCCGATGCCATCGTTGCTCGCTGTCGTTCCGTCGTCAAGCCGGCCCAGTGCCAGAAGCGGCTGTCGCCGGGGGCCCTCGCAGTGCCGCTCGCCGCCTGGGCCGGGCCCGCCGGTCCGTGGAACTCTCCGAGGCCGAGCCAGTCTCAGTGGGCTCCGGCCGACTGGCCGGCCAGCACTACTGCTCCGCACTACTGCTCTCCTCATCGGCCTGCTCGCCGGCGGATTCGGCTCGTTTGCCCACGCCGGCTACACCAACCCGTCGGCCTGCCAGCATTTGGCGCGTCTCCAAGTGCCCGAGGCGTCCGGAAGCTCGTCCGGTTTGCTGCTGCGTCCGTCCGCCTCGGTCGCCTTGGCGACGTCCAACAGTCCCGTCTCGACCGGTGGACAGGCCTCCAAGTCCGACGCGTTCCAGGTGAATCTGACGGCTCTGCTGGCGGAGCGACTGGGCCTGACGACTGAAGAGTTGTCGGGTGTGTCGGTACACTTGTCCGACGCCGAGGAGAGTCGTCCCTTCGCGGTTGCCCAGCAGCAGCCGGGCGGTTGGCATCGCCTGTACGCCGCCGAGCCGGTGGATCGCGAGGCCATCTGCGATCCCTTGCGCCAAGTGACGCGAGTGGCAGTGGCTCGAGCCTGTTGTCAGGACACCGAGAACCTGTTGCTGCCCGACGAGTCGAGTCTCGAGGTCGTCGCGAACGCAGGGCCGTCCACGTGTTGCCTCTTCGTGCCGGTGACCGTGGGCTCGAGGGGCACCTACGATTTGCGAATCGACATCCTCGACATCAACGATCACGCGCCCGTCTTCCAACTGGCCGCTTTGCCATTGCCGCCAGTTTCGAGTCCCGCCGGTCGAGCGGGACTCGGGCTTGGGCCGCGAGGACCGGTGAATTCGCTCACTTTTGAGCAGATCCCCAGCCGGTCGGAGGTTGGCTCGACCTCCGGTCTCCGGTTGACCGGAGTGCTGGCGTTTCCTGAGAACGCAGTCGCCGGCGATTGGCTACAACTGCCGGCGGCCGCGGACTCGGACTCGGGCGAGAACAGTCGAATCGTCTATCTGCTGGCCAACACGAGGCCGGCGCATCTTTGGTCACTACATTTTCGCCTCTTGCAGAATGTCGCGTCCGATCTGGCCAGTCTCGTGACCTCGGGCCAGCCGAGCGAAGGTGCGACCGGTGCTGGGTCCGAGTCCGGTACACCAACCGACCACGTGGCTGCTCAGTCGGACTCGTCGCACCCTCTGCTGGGGAGGATGATGAGGATGAGGATGATGATGCTGATGACGACGGGACCGCGGGCAGACGTTGCGGCGCCTGCCGAGCACGAGGCGATCGGCGCCTCGACTGGGTCGACCGACCAGCCGACGGGGATGTACCAGGGTCCCGGGTTGCTGCTGCTGCAACCGGTTGACCGAGCGACGGTGGCTCGATTCTCGGCGCTGCTGATTGCCACGGATCAAGGCCAGCCAGTCCCGCTCTCGGCGACCATAGGCCTGCAGATCAGAGTGAGCCCAAGCGGACATCGCATTCACACAAAACGGGGTGTCAAGTCGGAAACCGGCTTTTAAGGAGCCACATTTCACACTTTGTCAAGATAATGCATAACATTTTGGAGGCCGAGATTGGTTTGGGCGAATCTCGTGCGGAGGGTCAAGACTGCGGGTCTGCTTTGTGTATACCCCTTTTTATTGTGGCCAATACTTTAATATTAGTACTTAACTGATAGGATAATTTAGTATTTTTCTGAAATATGCAACTATAGGAATGCAGGATTCTAGCCATTAGTAGGCCACAAGATTATCGTTTATTCTTGAATAAGAACCAAATCAGTCTAGGCCGCATAGATTGATTTAAGCTTTTCTTCGCTTCTTCCTGCTGCTAGTATCGAACACCCACATAAAAACCAATACTAATAATAAACAAATGCAACCTTGCCTCATTGACGATCTCAATGTAGAAGATATGAAAATGGTCTGATATTCTTGAAATTACCATCCTTTCTGTGGTGAAAGCAAACTCGTGATGGTAAAAATATGCTGCACTCAACGGCCTGGGTTTGAGTCCCGCTGGAAGTCATGATGCAACGTAGACGAGGACGAAACGGAGCTAAACTTCTGCTTGGATGAGAATAGATTTCGGGAATAAGTGATATGCAAAATTTAATGGAAACATGAGGCCTACTCATATGATTGCTTAAAAATCATATAAAAAATCGGTAATAATTAAGAACCTTATAGAAATTTGATGAGTGCCTGCCCCATTTTAGGATCCTCTAGTAGTCTCGAAAGCATAAGTAGTATAGAAATAAATAACAAGAAGATCAACGCCTGACATTTGGGTTTTTCCTCAATCAAATAATTAGGTTTTTTTACAATCAAAACTATGTGAACTTCAATGGAAGCATGATTATTACTCATATGAATATGTGAAAAGTTAATCATAAATCCTTAATTACCTTAAGTAATATTTAGTTAATACATTTCTTATTCAAGGGCTACTGGAAATTTCAAAAAATAGTGCCTGACTATTGAGTTTTCCTACTATCAAACGAGTAGTTATGATGAGGCCATAGAATTTCACTCCACTATACAGCCACACTTGCTAGTATTTCACAGCGCAATTTGGGCCTTGCTCAATTCACATTTAAAGTGGGAGTGTCGATTCGATAAACATATGTTTGTCGGTAGCCAGGGTTACTACTTGGAAGGTGAGGTGAGGTAGATACTGCATTCGAGAGGAGATTGCGTATTTGTGGGACAACAGTGAAGAAGCCTCAATCGCCTACTCATCTGGTTGTGGGAAAGCTCCATTTTTA